ATAGCAAACCAGAGGCCGAATCACCTCAAAGTACAGAATTACTCCCTTGGGGTGCAAACACCTCCAAAACACGCTTTTTTCTCCTCTCACTGTATCTTCAGCTAGAATTGAGCTGAAGAAATTACACCAAGAGCAGATAAAAGCCATGACAAAACGAGTCCTGCACATCAAGATAGTGAAGCAGCTAGTGCAGACAGAGCTGCAAAATAAAGCTGGGGCTCATCTGTAAGAAGGAGTACTGAGAAAAAAAATGTAGAAATCAAGGAGACCCAGATTAGCGTGGAGAGCTTTGAGCACTGGCGCTGCCATCATGAGGTCAAAGTAAACAGCTGCACAGCCAGATGGATTAATAATGAATGAGTAACATAACATCAGTCTGTCAAAGACTACATCAAAGTAAAAGGACAAATCCCAGCATTAACACATCTAACTTGGCAGTGAGATAATTTAAGTCAGTGGTTCTTGGTACTGGTCATGGAGTACCATTGTCCTGCTTGTTGTAATCTTCTTCCTGCTCTAACGCACCCAATTCCCCTCAGTAAGGCTTGTTAATTAGTCCATTAGTTTGCATCAGGTGTGTTATAGCAGGGGAAACTCTAAATGTGCATGGCAGTGCTACTCCAGGAACAGGACTGAAAACCACTAATTAAGTCCCACTGAAAATTTCTCAGAAATGTTTGTATGATACTAAAATTGAGTGTCATAAACTTCCAGCAAAGTTTAAATGAGAAAAAAAATACAGAAATATAATTAATCAGCCCTATCTGAGAACTCTCTGGGCGTGGTCCTAATGTTCTGATGAACATGCATGACTGACAGACCTTAACAACAACAGTGCTTAGTTGGATAGAACAATGTAGAATGGGGGGAAATGAGTAAAACACACTTGCTCCACATATGCAACACTAAAAACATTATCCAGTTTTTATATGGCAACGTCTTGAAAGTAAGGTATTTATTCACTTTCCTGCAGGATCTGCATCCAGGGCATACAGGCATGGCCAGCTAAATGAATGAATGGATGGACAAATGAATTGACGACAGAAGTTATGCTTGCTGGATTCGTTTTCGTTTGGTTGAATGCTTTCACTTGGTAAGTTAAGCTAGCTATCAGAGAGACTGCAGGAGAACAAAGTTTTATTAAAACCTTGTGAACGGGTCAAACCACAACAGCCGTGTGACTGGTGAGGGTAATGTGTACATATGTATGACCCAAGATTAGGACCGCCCAGTTTATACTGAAAGAGGAGAATGTTGGCAAAATACATCAGCCACTTAGTGGACGCTGGACAGTTATTCACAGGACATACTTTGTACATTTATATTGTGTGCCCACAAGAACAAGATTAACCTAATTAGAAAGAAAATGGATTAAGGTTCCCTGGGGCTTTAAGCAATAGAACATTCCATTGAGTGTGGTGAGTCTCAAGCAGCCCCAGACAAAAGTTTTAAATATTAATATTGGCAATTCCCTCTGCCAAAAAAAAGTAATTTTGGCTGCTTAGATTGAAGCAACCACTGTTGTTACTTAGCAACATAAAAGATCCAGGTAAGATGGAAAAAAACATACTGTCATCAGATTATAACACTGGTAGAACAGATTTCAATCTGTTAGAGCGGTCAGAATGAACTGTACTTAATGACTTATAAAAGTGCTTAAAAGCCTCCCAAAAAGCAAGAGAATGACATATTCAGGTTAGACACAACAATACAGGAATAAATAAAGTAGTTGAGAGAAGTAGGGCCTAATCATAACATGACTTCAGCACTGCAAAAGTTCATAGCTGCAAGCACACAATGCCTCACAAAGGCCCCACTGCATTAGCCCTGTCCTCACACGGCCCACTCTCTAATATTAACCTCATGAAAGACTGACAAATGGAACTAATTACCATCCAGAGGTTTGAGACCAGAGTGCACACAGAGGAGGATCATAAGCACTCAGTGTGCTCTGTCTCATCAAGGTCCTCTTTTATATCAGCCGCTAGGTAAATCCTTTAAAGCAGATTTTCTTTCAGCTATATCCGTTTGGTTGCAATCTCAAAGATCCCAAGTACGCCTGTACATTGGAAATAGCAGCTTTGAACACGACCCGTTAAGTGTGAAGGGATGAGAGCAGGTAAAGCGTGCGTAATGCAAAAGGTCCACAGCTAAAGCATTAGAGCAAATTTCATTTTGTACAATGAAATGCCACAGCAAACACTTGTAAACGGAGGAACCCCATTTATCTCACTTTCAGAAGATAAATGGAAAGAAATTACCCCTGCATGCAGGTAGGTAAGAAGTGTCACGGCTTTCAGGAGCACAGACGGGTTTGGCTCAGCGTACATTTGCAGGGAAATCACCCCCCAGATGCCCCCACCCCCCCCCAGGTCCCAGGTCCATCAAACCCCACCAGAAAACAACATTCACCATATAGCCTCTGGGCCACATAGTCAATAATGAAAGATGACAAATCACACTGTACTCCATAATATGGCTAATAATTGCAAATCCATTCGTTGAGGTGAACACAGTGCTGGTGTACTGATGCAAGCAGTCTGTGAGGGGGAAAAAAAAAAGGGGCAGCTTTGTCAGTTGCAGTCAAGCTCCAAAGAGTATTAAACATCAAGGTCTCTTGCTGACAATGGCCTAGCTGCGCACTGTTAATATCCAACTGCCTTATTATTTAGCGCAAATCCCTTCTCTGTCAAGCTCCACGCTCGGATCCAGAAAGCAAATTTAATTCCGGCAGTGTGGTAGGATCCAAGCACAAGCAGCCGTTTCTGCTCCAGCGTGTACCACGCTCTGCAGCCAAGCGTGTGCCCTGAGGAAACCTTAGGAAGCGATAGTCTCGCTCAAACCTGCAAACATAGCAGAGAAGTCCTTTTTTTTTTTCAGTTTTTGTCATGTGGACAAGAACAAAAGGCTCTTAATGAGCAGTAATTATTGTACTCCTTCAAGGAGAGACTGCACAAGTTGCCTCAGCCTGATAACCTTTCCACAAGAAACATCTTTGAAATGGCCTGATGTGAAATGATGCGATTTCCTCTAATACCATAAGGCCCCAGATTCTAAAGGCTATTAATGCAGTGGCTACATGCTTCAAAGCAAAATGAAAGGACTGACTCCATGCATGGAAACCTTCCTCATTCAGAAGGGTCAATTCTTTTGAGGTCTCTCTCAAAGGCGTCATTTAGGTGACCATTCAGGTCCTAAATGGATAAAGAAACAGTGGGATCTTTTAGCTTTGTATGCAGACACACAGTAACCCTGCATGACTAAGAAACGGACTGAAAAGAGTGGGGTTGAGGGAAAAAAAAAAAAAACACACCACCAGCCACATTACATAAAACTTGGCTGAAAGCATATGCATATTCAAAGGTAGGAGCATTCATTAAATTTGTCCCTTAATGGCACTATTACTTGTCTTTGCCCTACCGGGGGGACCCATTTGCATTCACAATGCAGGTCCAACACTGCAGTGCCTCTAATTGCCTCTAAATTTAGCAAGCCAAGCTTGTCCTGGGCACGCGGTGAGAGGGGAGCGAACAAGACCAGTACAGAGACAGAGACAGAGAGAGAGAGAGAGAGAGAGAGAGAGAGAGAGAGAGAGAGAGAGAGAGAGAGAGAGAGAGAGAGAGAGAGAGAGAGAGAGAGGAGAGGGGCGCAAGACAAGCTCAGGCTGAAGGTTTTGATCATGTAAAGGGCATATTTAAATGTGCAAGGGCACATTTGCAGCTGGAACACAAAAAAAGACAGATGTGAACCACAATAGGAATTTATAACACATACAAAAGGCAATGAAAGAACAAAAACAGCTTGACATTCAAAAGGGGGAGGAAGGAGGAGTCGATTATAAGCCCATTTATACATAGTGATCCTTCCCCTTTCTGCTTAGTTACAACAGATAACATGGAAAGATTTAAAGGCTTAGACGTTAAGGCTTTGGGGGATTTAGCCACGAGACGTGTCTGCAGGAAGGAGAGGATGTGGAGCAATGAAGACCAAAATCAACATCATTTCCTACAGAACGTCCTTGAGCGCCATATCTCTGCTTTCTGCTGCACAAAGTACTCCAACAGCAAATACATTCCTCCACTATTTCAGACAAGGCTTAGGAACTTCACTATAATAATCTATTCCAAAGGTGTCTAAACTGCCTTTGCCATTTCAAACCAAATTCGCAAGACTGCTTACTTCAAACGAGAATCCAGAATCAGAATAAACACCAGCTTCCACACTAGCAGCACTGCATGTGCAAACTCCAATGCTCTAATGTTCAAGTCAATCCAGTGCTTTCCACAAATCGATATTGTGTCCATTTTCCACATTATTGCATTTAACACGACATTAAACAGAATGTCGAGCCAAATAACATTATTATAAATGGACAGGAAGGACATCTAAAACATTTTGAGGCAATAAAGCAGGGCAGAAAACTTTTTACCACTGCTTGCACAAGCAAGGATTACAGTAGGTTTTCTAGGCAGTTGGAATGTTTGCTGTACCAAGTAAGCCACCACAAGGCTATACAAAGGATACAGAGATACAAGATGGGGAATACCAACTGAATGTTAACCAGACATACAGAGAAAGAACACTGCACCCAAACACGATCTCTTCAAATCTCTCCGAGTGTCCATGTTTGCTTCTCAGCAAGAATTCTTTCTGAGCAAAGCTCAAAATCCCTTCAGTCTTATCTTCACCAAATTGTAACAGTGTAAAGCAACAGAGTAGTGAAGAATCAAATTTACATCATTCCCTGCCCCCCTTCCCACCCCAAAACAGTCAATCAGCCAAAGACATGTTTGGCTTCCAAAGTTTGTTTTATTGTCTTTGTACTGGAGCTACATTCTTATTCAGCAGACCACCAATTAGCATCATGCCTAAATCATCACATTCCCAACAAAGTTGAGTTGTTAAAGAATCTCAAAGACTTGCTGATGCTGTTTCTTTCACTGTATGACAATGTTATTTAAAAAAAAAACAAAAAACAAAACAAAAAAAAACACATCTTACATAGATATTTTAAAGCTTGAATCATGTCCTAAGAAAAATGTGCCAGCAGGTATCAACGCTGAGGAAACCCATGATCTGTTGAAAAGGCCTCTGATATACCTTTACTGATATCTGTTAAAAGGGTACTTAAAATAAAAAAGTAGCATTTGGCCCATCTGTCGGAAACATGCCTGCTCATATCTTAGAGCTCTGCCACAGTAGTCTCAAGAGTGACACTACCCAATTTGAAGACTAGGAAAACCCAGTTCTGATGTATCTTGAAGGTGAGAGGAACTATTAAAAAACTACAAGAACTTTGGGTCAGACACCTGAGTGGGCTGTTGGAATTTTATTTGCCACTAGCTAAATCTCATGTCTGTATCTTATACATAAGTGGTACATCAGTGGATTTCTTTATCTCCATGGGTGGAATTCCAAATGGTTGTATGATGTATTTGTGTAATGCATAAAATAAAATTATGATGTACTAAATGCTAGTTTTAGGGTAGAATGCCCCTTTATTTACTGCCCACATAAAATTGCTCAGCAGCAAATAATGGCAAACTGGAATTCTGTGTATTTTGCTTGCTACAGCATATATCCAAAAAAACCATGACATGATTGTAGATTTGTTTTCAGGTCTGAAATTTTATTAGATTTTCTGATGCGAACAGAGTGACTCATAATACTGAAATACTGTAGCACTACTACTAGTTGATATATTTTTTAAGAATCCAAAACCACAAACCATTTCAGCATTAAAAACAGCTTGTTGCAAAAATAATAATGGAAAATAAGAGTTGAAGCACTGAGAGAAGGTAATTTGTCATTTTGTGTGATTGAACCATTACTCGTCAAGGAAGTACGAGTCTAAATCTCCCATCTCTTCCATTGCCTGTGTAGTGTTGGGTTGAGGTTGCACACTGGCACCATTAGCGGTTGTGTTTTCCTGAACTTTCTGGGGCATCTCCACCTCTTTCTTGATTTCCCTGCCTCCGCCAAGCAGCTTCTGACTCTCCATGAAGTACTGGTTCGGATGATTCAGAGAAAAGCCAGCATCTTCAATCTGTTTGGAAGAACGAGAAAGTTTAGACAATTCCATGACCTTCTGCTGACACTTCACAGTAATCCAATAGTCGACAGCTCACAGGATGGCGGATATTCAGATTAGGGCTGTGGTTTGTTTATGGAAATGTAATTCCTTTGCAAGCTGAAACAGACAACCTCACCCTCCTTTCTACCTCTGTGTATAAGGCTCAAAGTCGACCTGCTTTGAAGTTCCACTGACTGCTCCCACTGTGCTGCCTTGTCTCGAGACCTGAGTCCGCTCCCATTGTTTAAACTAAATGGAAACAGACTGTTTAACTCTACTTGAACTGGTGGAACATCACCAGGGCAGTGCACATCCCTAGTTCTCCAGAAATAAATCAAAGATCTGAGCCCATCCTTATCTCGGAGGGGAGAGCAGCTGGGTCGCTGGCGGTGTTTAAGTGGAAAACTGAGCGATCCATTACACCCAGATCCATTTCAGTGTTACCGCATTACAGCAAAAACCACACTGAAGTGCCCTCTCGGTGACAAATGAAAAATGCATAAACATGAAGCGTCTAAGCAAGGGCTCGGAAATGAATCAATCCCGAGGAGTTTTTGGAGAGAGCTCATTTCTGAACCCCCTCGCTCCGTGGCGAGGGGCAGTGCTTGTCTATGTGCCTCCCTGCTGCCTTTTCATTACTTTCTCTAGCGCTTGATTTATTGCCCTTGTGTAAATATTTCATCGGTGAAGTATTACATTTTGACCTTTAATAAATGCTGCCAGAGAGGGAGGAACAGTGGCGATCTATCTGTTCCAACTCCTGGATGTGAAAACAGGTGGGACACATGGCGGTGATTAAAGTCCCGCCACTTGGCCCAATAACCATATCTTTATGCCCGTGATGACTCCAGCATCTCAGATCAGACAATGGCTGAGGAGAAAGGGAATCCAGCGATGCACCAATAAGTATGCTTTATTGTGCACATTAACGTCAGTGATGCCTCTTCATACAGCTGACGTAAAATATGACTCATTCAATTTCAGATATGTGGCGTTCGTTGGTGCTGTGGAAGGGGTAGTTTATCTTTCAAGTCCTGTTAGCGTGAGCTGTTCATCAGGACAGACGTCTTATTTGTTTTGAGAGATCATAAGTTGTTCACATTGCTTGGCTTGCGGCTATCACTCATCAGCAACGACCCCTACTCTTTGTGCCCTCAGAACGACCACTAAATAGTGCCACTGGATCGCAGAGGCGCTGCCATTTTCACTGTTGGCCATTAAAAGCCATTATTGTGTCAATGACACATAACGACATTAAAGAAAGGGTTAGCCCAGATACAAACACACACATAAAACATCCCGGTAATGGGAAGGAATTTGGCCCTGCAGATTATGACTAGATCAGGGCATTTATGAACATTCTCAGAAATGCTGGGCTTCTGTCCTGATAGATATTAAAACAGCTGAGAAAAAAAAACAACAACAACAAAAAAAAAACAGCTGCATGGAACAACTTCACGATTTTAAAGGGATGTTTGACATGAGATTTATGATCACTGTTCATGCCAAGTATGAAGGTACGATGCTCAATATCTTCTCCACTCTATGTTTGACACTTATGGAAGCCTGTTTCTTCCACCTAAGGTGGGTGGGGAGGGGAAAGGGGTTTGGGAGGAGGCCATACAGTATGTCATAATAATGAAAAGGTTTCTTATAATTATGACGTACTATCTCACAATTATGACTTTGTATCTCATAATTATGACTTAGTGTCTCATAATAATGAGAAAGTGCAGAGTCAGTATTATGAGATACTAGGTCAACATGATGAAAAACAGGTCTTATTTATGAGATGCTAAATCATAAATTATGATTTTCAGAAATCATGACTTCAAGGACCAACCGTTCTCTGTTGTTGAGAGTGTTGGTTTTCATAGACACATTCTGCGGCCTATACACTTTTATAATTTTAGTAGTATTACTTTAAGAACTCCTTTAAGAACACGTTTATTCAAAAGCAAAAAACTTCCATTTTTCTTTCACATGTGGTTCAATTTAAATTTTGGCCTGGAGTTTTCATTACTGTGCATCGCTAATTTGTTTACAATGTATGTGGGCTATTATAATAAACAATTCTATTTTCCATGTGTGTCCATTGTTAAGTACACAACAGTTATTGTCATATACAATTCAGCTATCCTAAATTAAAAATAGTTTTTTCAGTGTATAACAGTCTCTGGTGCTGAGAAGATTTATAACCTGATATCCTTATACAGAATTCTCTTCCTTTATCCTCTAGTCTTGCATTTTGTATCATACCGATGACAAACATTAAAAGGTTTACCTCTCACTTTCATATCAAAGACTTTCTCCTTTTCACTCAAATTAACCTGTCACCAAGCAGACAGCGACTGTTTGCTCTGCACAGGTGTGTGCACACATTTTCACCCCTAACGCGTCAGCCGAACTGTTTCGGAGTGGAGGGACAGGGCACCTGCCACACAGCTAATCCTGACTGACACAGTTTGGAAGTGCTGTTCCCTCATGTGTGTGTATGTGTGTGTTTCTGGAGATTGTGCAGTTCCAACGCGAATGCTACAGTCGCCTGTCAAAATACCATAAGCACAGCAGGGACAGAAACGCCACAAGAAATCAGCGCACACTGAACTGTGTACCCCATTCATTTGCTTTCCCACTGGCTCTGACCCACAAATCCACAGCTTTTATGTCCTGGTTTATGGAACACATTATTGAACTCTGTAAAGCATGTCAGAGCAATCCAAACGGTCGATTTCAACAAAACACAGAAAAGATCTCCCAGATTTAGCACCCAAGCCACGCTGGTGCTCACTTTCCCTCCCAAAGAACAGCTAAATAATAACCTTGAATGCGACTGAAACTGCTGATCCAAAAGGTCCCTGCTAAAAAGCATTAGATCAAATAAATTAAAAATTCATACAAGGGTAAATTAATCTTAAGTGCTATAATAAACCCATAAAAATTAAGCAGCTACGACAGCTAATGATGGATGTGATTACAGTGGCCGGACTCTGTGGAGCGTCTCCGGAAGAACAGCAGGGCTGCCCCAGAGCTGCCAAAAACAGGCCCAATTAGACCGGGTCAGAATGAAAGGCGTCCTTACATTGTGTGTCAATTCAAAGTACTTCTGGCAGGCCAGCTGATAGTGCATTCCCTTGACAAGGTCCAAAATCTGTGAGAGAGAAAGACAAAGAGAGGAGCTGTTAAGAGATCCATTGGCAGACCAGTGCTCTTGGATTAATTTCCCCTTTGTGTTAAGGATCGTGTTTTCTGCTGCCTGTTGTTAATCACAGCATTTTCACCTGCCGTGTACAATTAATCTGAAACCATCATACAAAAATTCACCATCAATACCCAAAGATGATATGCATGTACAATATGACTTATCACATGCTCTCTCTTAATAGAAGTTTAAAATAATTCAAACTTAGGCTGCACAGTACTGACAAACACACTGCAATTTAGATACTCTGCAATATATTAAAATACAGTGGAAAACCTTTGGTGTGACGCGATACAGAATACAGTATTTCAAAGTTATTTATAATGCCTTGATTCCCCAAAATACCTGCAGAAACTCATCTGAATCATCTGTGATTAGTCAGAATGCTCAAAGCACATTAAAATATGACTTATTCGTTAGAGGGCTCACTTGCATATTGCAGCCTTCTGCAAAACCACAAACGCCAATATCACGAGTAGACATGCGCTAAATAAATGAATTAATTTTAAAAAATCAAGACAATTACATAATCTTTTATCACAGTTACCATAATACAGTATTTTTTCAACGTCATTAAACACGTACACCAATCAGGCATAACATTATGACCACCTCCTTGTTTCTACGCTCATTGTCCATTTTATCAGCTCCACTTACTATGTAGGTGCACTTTGTAGTTCTACAATTACAGACTGTAGTCCATCTGTTTCTCTGCATACTTTGTCAGCCCCCTTTTAGCCTGTTCTTCAGTGGTCAGGACCCCCATGGATCCAGCAGCACTACTGTGTCTGATCCACTCGTACCAGGGCAACACACACTAACACACCACCACCACATCAGCGTTACTGCAGTGCTGAGAATGATCCACCACCCAAATAGTACCTGCTCTGTGAGGGTCCATGGGGGTCCTGACCACTGAAGAACAGGGTAATGACAAATAAAACTTTACAATCAATAGTTCATGATGAAGCTTCCACAGAATGTGATTTAACATAGGGCAGACCAAGCTTTGCTCTTAGCATTTACTGTTTATGCTCTTTCTAACCTTCTCCTGATCAACATGGTGCACATAATCTCCAATACTTCTGTAATGATAACATGGTCACGTTTTTCCATAGTGGGCCAGGTAGATATGCAACAGAAACAGCTTTCAGCCGCTTGTTTTATTCATTCTGAAAACACAGTTGTATTCACCCAAAGAACTGCAATATCAGAGTGTTTTGTGCTACTGATGTGTGAATTTGTGTAACCTACTGCTGGTCAGTTCTCAAGGCTTAACTCCAACAGTTATTACTGAGCCTTACACTTGCCTTGGGTAACTGAGAGTCAGAAATAAAGTCTGGCCATAAAAACACAGAGTAGGCTCAGTGTGGGGGAAGACAGATGGGTTCAGAGAGAGTGTAGCAGATCTACCAGACTGCAATGAGTTTTTCCAACTCCTGATTATGGACAAAGAGCTGCACAAAACAGGTTCCTTGGCATTTAAGCTTGGAAAATGAGTATTAAAGTCAAAAGGCTAACTTTCAGAATGATAACCATAAACTAAATTATGAGGTTTAAAGAATACAGAAATGCACAGAAAGATGTGCCTAAATTAATCATTGATATTGTTAGGGGGGCTAATGTGACAAACGCTTAAAATCAACTTTATGGTGCTCTAATAAGGCCTTTTTGCTCACCCTTCAAAAGCTTTTGTAAGGTAAAAATTCTGAATATGCGACAAAGAAACCAACTTCACAAAGGAAGCATTTGGCCCGATATTGTTTCTGTTTTGTTTAAATTAATTAGTTGATTAACCAAACGACAGTTGACGGATCATTCAATTACAGAAATAAGTCAGCAGCCCTAGTGACTACCATATGAACACTTATTTGTCAGAATATCTTCAGGATATTCTATGTGAACAGAGGTTCAGCAAGACTTCTTGTGCTGGAACTTCCATTTAATGTATGGTGCTATGAATAACCAGAAGCCAATGACCGTAAGGGAGCAGGCACGGTACTAATTACTAAACTGAACGCAGCCTTCGGCAAATTAACTGCAGAGGCCTAATTTTGATTAATACACAATTGAATTTGGAGCCCCCAACTAAAGCGAACAACAGCTGTCTTTGGACATGGTCATTACTGGCTTTTCTGCTCGTTCCTCCACAGTAATCTGCTGTTTGAGAACGTGGGATTCTTTAGCCTTTCAACATATCCAGAAGTGAGAGTTACATGGCAGTGTTGGGTGCTCGCTGAGAAAGTGAAAAAGAGGTTAATTCTGCTTTTCCTACAGTACAGCTCGTTGCCGGCTGGCACCTGCTCCTTCTGGCCTCTGGTGTCACTTTGTCACCAGACAGGGTGACTGAGAGGGACTGATGTTCTGCATTTTAATCAGCCTCCTACGCAGGCCTCTCGCATTTCGCTGGAGTTTTTAATTATCCAGCGCACTGGGCTGGCGCTGCAGTGAGAGGAGGCTGCATGCTGCGAGAGCTCCTGGCCTTAACTCCACACTGCCACCATCGCCACGCTCTCTACCCACAGGTCCTCTCTGAACAGCCTGAGACTACGTGGGGGTTGAGGGGGGGTGGGGGCTAGAATGCTTGGGGTCACCAAAGAAATTGTGAATTTAATTTGATGAGAAATGTGCAGCCCTTGGGCTGGCTTGTCAGAGTGCATTAGCGAGCTGTCCACCATTTCCCTCAAACACACTGTGGGTCATGTTGGACAAGCTACCCATGGTAAGACTCAAAAGCACACAGCAGACAGGCACTTGCCCAAGAAGACTACATACGGGTTCTTTTTCATCAGAGCAAGTTAGACTGACTCTGTAGGAGTCTTGGGGTCTTTCCAATCATGCAGTTCTTCAACATAATCTTTCCTTCATGCACAAGCAGATGAGTTTATACTCGGACACACAGACTCATAAGTAGTGGAGAAAGGTGACAAGTTCAAAAACTAATCCCCTGCAGAGGGGTCCAGTGGCCTCGTTCCTACTAAAATTCCTTTACAACCCCACACCTTTTTATCAATAGGGGCCATTCTAAAAAACTTTGCTCATCATGTGTTCTGCCGACTCTATAAAGCACCTTGTGCTTGGACCCCAATGAATGCCATTTTCTATGTAATTTGTAGAGAGGTGCTTACCTCTCGCAGCATTCACGACAGCCAACACAACATGTTCTTAACATGTTCTACACCATTTAGACACAAACTAAATGAAAGCTGATGGTCTGCATACATCTCCACACATCACCCCTATCCTCCACCAGGCTTTATTGTTGGTTACCAATATCTCACTGTATCAAGTACAAACCTCTCCTGCTAACTTTTAAAGCCCTCCATGGTCTTGCACCTTCAATTCTCAGGGACCTTTCATCCTTACTCTCCTTCTCACTCCCTGAGAGCTTCTGGCACTGGACTTGTCGCAGTCCCACGCACAAGACTAATTAGTTGGTGGCAGGTCGTTCATTGGATTTTAGAACTCTCACCCCACAATCTCTGTGTGACTGCTCTACCCTCTCTTCTTTTAAAACTCAACTTCAAACCTTCCTCTTTACTGCACAACATATTTTTTTTCTCCAAGTATAATTTTATTTCTTGTTTTTTTTTATGTTGGGTTGTTTTGCTTCTAAAGGAAAGTGCCCTTGGGTTTGTGAAAGGTGTCATATAAACTGAAATTATTAGCCCTCATTTGCCAATGTCTTCCTAAGTTTTTCTCAAAGTTGTTCTTGAGTAAGGTCCTAGCAAAAAGTCTGTTAGATGTGTGACGTGTTCTTAAACTGCAGAATTGTTCACACGTTTGTGCTCGATGTGTAGATTCTGTTCTTCCTAAGAACAAATCCCAAATAAGAAAACATTGATGAATGTCAGAATCTTTGTAAAAACTGCACAAGTGTTTTTTAAAAAGACAATTCTTCTTAGGAACGGTTGGTAAATTATTACCATTACCATTATCATCATCATCATCATCATTTGTCTGGGTTGTTACAAGGCTAATTTACAGGTTAACCTTTTTTCGCTCACCCTTTTATTGGTGATTGAAGAAAACTATTGAAGAAAGAAATCTGAAATCTGAACATTATTTCCGTACTGGCACCCTAGTTCTGATTGGTATATAAAAACTAAATACTATATTTGTGGGTTGACCGAATAATGATAGCAAACTGCCACTGTGCTGTGTTTGGGGCAGAGGAGAGATTCTCCCTAATAATTCTCTCCTGGTAGTAGACATGAAGAGGATGTGTCACTATGCACAATGCCAAGCGTTGCCTGCAGTGATGCAAAACCACTGGACTCTGAAGCAGTGGAAACATGCTTCACAGTATGGCAGTGTGGATGCCAGGAGAACACTACAGACCCAAATGCATAGTGCCATCATTAAAGTTAGGGATAGTCTGTTTTTATGGATTTGGGCTCAGTCCTTTGGTTCCAGTGAAGAGTAATGTTAATTCTCCAGCATACAAAGATTTTATACAATTGCACACTTCCAAAGTTTGGGCCCTTTCCTGTGTACAAAGAGCCAGGCCTTATTGTCCAACATCAATGCCTGACCTCACAATGCTCTTTTGACTGAATGGTCAAAAATTATCCAAGGACACATTCAAAATCTTCCCAGAAGAGTGGAGGTCATTGTAGACACAAAAGCAGTGGTGCACTTCATATTAATGCACATGGTTTTTGTAACGGAATTTAAAACAAGCTCATATAGGTGTGGTGGTCATACTTTTGTCAATATAGAGCGCATGTTTCACTGGATATTATAATCAATAATAAATTCCAACATATCAAAATCAACACAATTTTACCTTCAGATTATGACGCACCATTGCATTTTTACACTTCTAAATGGTAACCTCATATATGGTAAGTGATATCAGGTGTTAGGTTAGTCATACCACACACACACACACACACACAAACACCATGTAAATCTACTTATTCCTTTAGTTCTGTAATAGTTGACTCGAGGTGGACTGGAACCAAGGCTTCTGTTCCCAGCAGTCTTGAACCTCATATTAGGTACTATTTGCTTTTATTTGGATATAATTAAAAAAAAAAAAATCCAAAACGTTCTTGCATTTTCACGTGAACAATGAATAATGTGTAAGGCTCAAACACCATTTTTTTTACCAGTCTAATGCACTCTTTTCTAAGACTATGACAAGTTATATTTGGTACTATTTGCTTTTCCTCAGATACATTAATACAAAAGTATCCTTCAAGACTTTGATATTTTCTTTTATTTTCATGGGGACAAGGTGAAGAATGCATTAAAAAAATAATCCAATCTAAAGCACCCAACTGGAGCCGAATACTTTTTTCAGTGCACAATGAACATCCATATTTAACACCTAACTTTATAGGCTAATTACAATAAGTCCATTAACTGCATCGGTGTCTGAGACAATCTCAAGTTATTGCCTGTCCTTTATAACATCATTTCATGTCTTAAAAAGCTGCCAAAATGTGTGTTCTGAAACGCTGGTTTTCAAATCCTGGGTTACAGCCCTCAGAAGGGTCAGACAGAACTAAAAACGCTTGGGTGAAATTACACACAAACCACCTCCAGTAACAGAGAACTAAATAGCATGTGGAGAGTTTAAGGTTCTCAATCCCTTACAGATAACAAGGGAAATAGATACCATTTCAAAGATCAGTGTCCTTTGGTCATCTTCAGGTGCATTTTTAAGTGGAAACTTTGTCTCCTGTGTGTGATAATGGCAAAAAGACCTCACAAAAGAGGCAGGCCAATCCTCAAATTCATAAATTAATTCAGATATTCTAACAAAATATTAACAAAATCTACACAAAAGGAAATCAATCTGTTTTTCAGAGATTTTGACTAAACACACACACAAAAAAAAAAACATTTGAGAACCCATTTATTACATCATTTGACTAATAAATTCTCTCATAACTACGTCAAAAGTCAAAGTAATAAGTTTGAGAATGTGTAAGTATGGCCATAAGACAGCACTGTACGTGTCTTTAATACCATCAAACTGAAGGCCTACATTTCTGTTCAGTCTGTTCTCTTTGGGGCTGTTTATGACTCATTGATTAACTGTTACCTGATCAACGCTTTCCGATAAAAAATGAAATTTCCAATAAACAAGTGATATTTGAATAGCCAGGTTTTTCATTCAACTTTAAGACCGTTTTCAATTGCATGAAAGAGAGTGCAAGACTAACTTGTTCTGGAAGCCCTACTGGGTCTTCTGGAGTCAACTCCAACACCCTGTCTCCTGCCACTGGAGTGGATGGAGCTGACTCCTCAACCCAACTTAATTACAAGGTGATACAGCAGAGATTAAACCTTGTTTATGTATGTAGTTTACAACATTCTTGCAACTAAGGTATTAAGCCACATGACACAGTGCTAAGGCAGGCTACAAGTGACTTTTCTCAAATGTCATGTTGCTTTTGTTGCGTTCACATAGTGTGTGATCACACATTTCCACCAGAGAGTTTACCAAATGCCTAAATCTTACACAGTGCAGTTTTAACCAATACATATGAGGTTCAAGCTAGCCCCAGTCAGGCCATACTAGTTAACTTGGGCTAAAATGTGGTAAATGTAATTAAGCAAGCTATATTACATGACTGTTATATCTGTTATGACAGACTGCGTTTTTATTCAATAAAGCCTAAAGCTTTGCTTATTTAAAATGCAGTGCTGTGTTTGATGTTATTATGGGTCAAAAGAATTGGCCAGACTTTGCAACCCTAATTCCCTTTGTAAAACCTTACAATTGTCATGAATCTGTTCTCTAGCAGCCAAACACTCACAACCATAGTGTTTCAAGATGAACACACTAAAGCTTGTTACAGCAGCCCATGACACTGAGCTCAGCTTAAAGCCCTCAGAGTCCACATAATGGAGAATAGCCATAATCCTGTGTGCAAGACTTCAATTCAACTGACAGTGAGAGTGAGCCTGCATTGTGTCTCTGTGTGTGTGTGTGTGTGTGTGTGTGTGTGTGTGTGTGTGTGTGTGTGTGTGTGTGTAGACCCACCTGAACGATCCCACTGGGGGAGAGCTTATAAGACTGTAGCTTCTGCTTCAGTAGCTCCGGGTCACTGTGGCGGAATGGACACCCTGAGAGGAGGAGGAGGAGGAGGAGGAGGAGGAGGAGGAGGAGGAGGAAGACAGGAGAACAGCACAGGTAAGAACTGGTTAGCAAGGTTCACAGTATAATTAGTGCAGTAATTATTATTCTGTTGACAGTGGCTTGGAACTTCTGCCATGATTGATTCATTGTGTGTTTTGTGGCCATAACTCAAAAAATGTGTTTAAGAGACATTATCCTGAGTGTTGGCTCCGGGGAATCAGAATGGTTTCATCACATACGAAATGAACGTCCTCGTCGGCTATAACTCACCGTGGTAGTCGCCTTGGCTGGGTGGATTTGACAAAATCACCTTCATACAACTGTAGGGGGTGTAGTCTGTTCGCTTTCCTTCCTTTCCAAACATGTGGCGGATGCTGTAGGCATATGCTTTGTCAAACTAGGGAGCGAGACACAGGGAGAGAGAGCAAACGAGGGAGGGGGAGAGAGAGGGAGAGACTGTCAGATTGAGGAAGAGAACATATCTGAACAGCAAGAGGGGTGCAGTGGACTGGGCTGGGAGTGCTGAGGTTGGGGGTGAAAGAGACATTGTCGTTCATCAAGTGGATCCTGGCAGGATGTTTTCTACAATGAAATACTGAGCTATCAGTGGGGACCTGCTGCAGAGGCATTGCCAAACTACAGATAGCTGTGACTGGATTATGGATAATGTGTCTGCTCTGTCTCCTATGTCTCTATTCTCTGGCTTACAAGCACAAGTACATACTCTGAATTGTGTCCACCTAGAATAAAAGTGATAATAAAAATAACAAATAGAGAAATGCATATATCCACAGAAGCATCTAGACATTCAGAACAGACATTAAACCATCCTAAATGTAGTTTACATCACTACTGCAGCTAGAATATTTTGCCACAGCCGTTTTTTTTTTTTTTAAAAAAACACGTTTTTTGAATATCATGTTGCTTCTGTCGAGTGTAGCCTTAAGCTTTAGCCTGCAAAGGTCCTTTGCAGGATGCAAAAGTTAGCCTATGTAGTTATTTCCATGACAAAAAAGCTTAAAAGCTGCAAGCTAGTGTAAGATGATCTGTGGATCTCTCCAACTGAAAGACCCTGAATTTAACTGTGTATCCATGAGGGATGATTTCCATATAACCAAAAAGTGAAATGACTTCAATAGGCGCACTGAATATATAAACATAACTAGCCAGCATTTGGCCAGAACAATGAATGAACCCGATGTAAATATGATTTATCACAACAATATTGGTTATATTTAAAATTACTTTGGTTAAATGTCAAATTTTGATACTTAACGGAGACCACGGCCCACTGCTCTAGTCAGTGCTCTGGAGTACAATGGAGAGCTCAAGCAAACATGGCAGCTAGTGAAACACTGTAGTTAGCAAACAGATTTTTTTTCCCCCTGCAAGATGTAATGTCTATTTGTACTGCATGTACTCTATAATCCTCATCTGCACAAGGAAACTGACTTTCTGGCCACGCTAACTTACATGACATCCATAGGCTAACGACAGGTTTGTTGTCTGTCAGACATTGTGGTCAAGTGCACCATTGCCTCCTACTTTGAGCTCTGCCTTCACGAGGCATTAGATTGGTTTGCAAATTTCACACTTAGTTTGTTCCTACCCTAAAAAGTCTATGGTCCCACCAACATTTAGCCCAAAATTTTTCACGTTTGTCTAGACACTTTCATTATGAGTTCACATCTGGCTTTGCAAGACTGTAACAGGACACAAACTTTGCTACGTTCATGGAGGTTATTATTGGCAAAGGCCATCATCACAAAAAGAATACTTTGCCAAATACATAAATATTCTTTTCATGCAAGATGAGAAAACAGCAGAGATTCAAAGAGATTACCTCACAAAGCTATTATCATACATATCAAAACGCTGATGTGAAATCTACACAGCCATTTCCCCAGCATAAGAACCTTAATGTGTGCACTCCCTGACTTGAGGAATATTGCATATGCTTAAGAAACTATTAGAGTGCTAGCATTCGATGAGGGTCACTGCATTCAATCTCAGTGGTGAACTCAACACACCAATAATGTACATTCTGGTAGCCATCCAAACGGAAAATCCAGCCTCCCTCTGTTGGTTGTCAGGACTGGGAGTGAGAAGGTGTTCTTTATCCAGTGCACTCAAAGGCCATTACTACTATAATAAAACCTGCGAACTTGGCAAGGTGACTTCTCGCAGGCTCGCTGTAGTTAAAGAGGCAATAAAATCAGCTTAACCACATTAACAGAATGTGAGTGGTTTATGGATTTAGGAAGACTCCTGTTTTATAATAATAACATACCAGTCCAGATACAGTTGTTGGAAATGATATGTGCAAAGAATCATATTTCAAGATCCACCACCAAACTTAAGTGTTAGGCTGTTTTCACACCTAGTTCATTTGAGAAAGCCCAAACTAGAGCTTGAGGTTTTTAATGACATTGTATCCTTTTCATTTAATTCGGTTGGTTTCACATTGCAATGGCTAAAGTGCACCAAATTACATATTTGAGTGCTTGTTTACTGGGCAGAATTTTTGCAGGAATACAAGTGGCCTGTTGCTGTCATATTTGCTACCATTTGAGACAAAACAACTCCTACTTTGTCTGAAAACAGAGACGCTTATTGGTGAAATGCATCACAGTCAATGCAATAATAAACCTCTCGTGATTTCTGTTTATTTATGATTGGTTGGCCAATTTGAACGTAACCAATCAGGATGCTAAAGCAATATATTCTGTACTGCTTGTGCCAAAATCATAGGCATTGCTTTGTTGTTATTTTATTGCTTGCCTGCTGCTATCAGCTGCAGCTTATGCTGCAGGAACGATATGAGAATTTGAAAAGAGTCAGATATTAAAACAGATTATGTGGACAGTGTAGTGCTAAGGTGCTACTAGAAGAAGTAGACAAACATGCTCTGATGCTAATTTTCCCCTTTTGGTGCGAACAATTACAAAAAAATCCCTTCAAATTCCCAAAAAGCAGCAAACTGAGCCAGGGCTAATTTGGAAGCGAACAAAGACTGGCAATTTTTGTGCTGGATCAGAGTTCAGTTGTTTAGTTCACACCTGAGCACGAGTGAAGCGTCACACCAGTTCAAAACAGACCAAATTACAGAAAATTTTCCATAGGTATGCACCAAACGAGGCAGGTGTGAATGTGCCCACAGACTACGTTTAGATCACCATATTGACTTTCCACTAAAAAGACACACCAGCGCTATTATGGTGTGAGACCAGATCTACAATACACCAAACGTGAATAAAACTCCACTTCTTCACAGCATATAGTGAGACAGTCATTCACTCTCTTAAGCAAGCACTCAGTCAGTGGGTCACCTGCACACTTGTGCTGCCTTTCTCTCTCCCCCTGCAAGCTGAGCTCATTAAAATGCAACTAATTACTGTATTAATGTCAACAGCCGCTCCCTTAATGTATGCAAATGCACATCGGAGGCATTTCATACCTATTCCAAGGCGAAGCTTGGAAAAAAAATCCGGACTGAAATAAATTGGCGAGGTAATTGGTCATGAATTTGCAACAGCATGTAAAAAAGCCTCCTGGCACTGGATGTTCTGAAGCAGCAGCAGGCACGAAGATGCTCAGCTCTTCTGAAAATTGTGCCTTTTGGACCGCTTAAACCTGAGAGCTACTTCTGAATTGTGCCTTAACAATTCGCAAAACTCAGAAAGATATGAACAGAGCCTGCCTTATATACACTGGAAAGAGCAGAAATCCTCAAAAATTTATATCCCCGCCCCAAGCCCAAATGCAACCACTACTGCAATCCTGATCAAAAATATCAACTCTTTAAAAAAAAGCAAATCAAGTGATGGCATGAAACTGAAAAGCGGGAAAACCAGCAAACATCAGCTTATGAAGGTTATTTTCCACAACAGACTGGCGCCTCAACATCTACTGATCAGAGACATTTCAAAGTATCACTACTCAGGGTTCATGAAAGGCCCTTCAACTCCCAAAAGTCTGTTCACTCTATTGAAGGGATTAGGAGTGTGTTAGGTAAATAGAAAACAGAAAAACAGTTAGCTAACACTGCTCACTGATTTCATACTATATGTCTTGTGGGACTGCAGCTAAGATTCAAGCCACTGGAGGAAATCGCACACAAGTGCGCACAAGCACACACCTACAAATAAATCATATCATCCTCATTGTGTGCTTGCATGCACCTCAAATGGAAGCAGGATCTCAGCATGACTGCCTGCAGACAGGCCATTGTAGGTGATGTGGCACTAGCCCCAGTGCATCTTAAAGTTAATGCTATTAAAACGCTTTCCCTTTAATCGCCACTGCAAGGCTCTTTACAAAGAGAATCTCTGAAGAGAGGCAACTTCGCACAATGGGCCAAAAAAAAAGAAGAAGGAAAAAAGAAAAAACACTGACTGTTCCAAACAATACCTTACAACGTCTTGACTTTATCTCTAAAATACAGCCAAGACTAGAGCTCTGATGAATACCTGACCTTCTTATTACACTGAAAAATAAATAAGTTAAAAATACATCTGGCACAGGGCTCCACGATATGGTCCAAATACCATATTGCAATTATATTGCTACATATTGCGATATATCTTGAAATATTAAAAAGAAACTGGCGAGGCCTCAAAAGACAGTGGAAAATTTACTCTATCACAGTCCAGCTGCTTATTAGTGGCCGATAGAAATGCACCAGTTTTAACGGAAAACTGTGATAAAACATTACATTACAGTTCTCTTTCCCAACACAGCGATTATCAGAAAGGTGAGAAAAATGTAATATCACAGAAAGTGTACGATACACAATATGTGACAATATTTTTGCTGACATCTTAGAACAAAGTAGTGCCACATTAAAAAAAAATACTATCAAAACCTCCAGTTAAATAGCACCACTTATACTCTTTGTGACCAAATATGCAATTAGGAAGTGTTTTTTTTTATTTTAAATACTGACGATATTAGTAATATGCTCGGAATAGCATATTGTGTCATATTGTAAGGGAGTTTACCACAATAACGATTAATAGTGTTATGTTGCCCAGCCCTAAATTATTGCCTTTGACGCATTGTTATCGGGCTACTGGTCCATCATCACCAAAATCTGATTACATCACCCTCTCTCTTAGGTCTATACCAGGGGTAACACGCGGCTTTTTTACTGCCCTGTTGCGACTCCACAGTGGAATTAGATTTTTGGGTAAAAATAAAATTGCAGTAAAATAAAACTCTAACACAGTTTTATCAACAAATGGTTAACAACAAATGGTGTTAATGTAGACCTGAAGACTGGCGTGCAGAGTGCTGGTCACCATAACAACGCAGACAACAATTTTGCCTATCTTGTAGCTAAAGAAAAGGCAAAGAGAGAAATTTAAGATGAACATCAATAATTTAGAGATGAATGGA